TTAAAAGAAACTAATTCTCATAAGTGTCTATTCTTAAATGTTCAGTGCCTGGGGTGGGGTTAGGGTAGGAGGGCAAGAGTCAGCAACTGGTGGGTTGATCCCTTCAACCTTAGGGAGCCTAACTAGGGTGGGAAGCAGAACACGTTGTTCTCAAAAAGTGCACGGCTGATTGTGATGCAAGAGCTAACAGCACCCATTTTGGGAACCCCTGCCCTGGTTATTTCCCTTGTTCTAGAGCCTGTCCTGGCCCCCTGACAAGGCTGTCTTTCCTGGCGTGCTCCTCCCAAGGGAATAACCAAGTGCAGCAAGGCCAAGTCTCCAAGCTGCCTCAGTCTCGCTCTACACAGCTCTGTCCCCATGGGACGCTGGGCCAAGCTGGGGCCTCGGCTCAGATGCCAGATCAGTCCCTTCTGTGCCAGGTGCTCGAGCAGCACTCACACCAGCAGGACCCACGCTCACCTTCAAGGAAGACGATCGTTGACCCATCTGAAGGCTTGGCGTGTACCATCCCACTCATCCTCCCACAGCCCCGTCCCACCGGCGGGAAACGGAGGCCCAGACAGGGTAGTTTCTTGTCCCAGGTTGTTAGGAATCACAGCAGAGATTCAACATCCTATTTGCCTGACCCTGGTCTCGTGTTCTCACAGGGATTCTAACCTTTTTCGTCCATAGACTACACTAGTGTCTGGTAAAGCCCAAAGGACTCCCTTCTCTGACTGTTACTAAATACGTAAAGCAAAATACAGAGGATACAAAGGAAACTAGTTATATTGAAGTATGTAGGACAGGACCCAGCAACAGATTGAAACATTGTCATAGTTTCAAAAGAGATCTGTAAGGATTGTAATATGAAATGGAAATATCATGTGAAAAACTTCGTGAAAAGTTGCAACTACTGTGGTTTTCAGCCTACATTTATAATTGAAGGAAATGCTAAATTCTAGTTGAACCTCAGGGGAACTAAATATGTCCCCCCCCTTTTTTTTTTCCATTCAAGTTCATGAACCCTTGAATTCTGACCACAGCCCCTGCAGGGGTAAGGATCCAGGCTAGAAACGCCTGGTCCAGTAGGGTCTCTGCTGCTGTGAGGTCCTTCAGGAAGCTCTGTTTCTGGTTCTGATGTGGGCTGCTAACTGGCTCCCCCAAGGCTTTGGGTTCTACTTCCTGGTGGAGACAGACTGCCAGGAAAGCAGGTCCCAGTACTACAGCTAGCCAGCCCCTCGGACACAGCGCTGATTCTTTGCCTAAGCCTCAGAACGCACAAGGAGTGGGGCTGAGAGCTGTTCCGAAGGCCAGGACGTGGCCTGCCTGGGCGCTGCCTGGCTCTTCCACTGCACACGTCGTTAGTGAGAGCCCTACTTTGAACCAGATGTTAGGGAGAAATGGTGGAGTTCCCAGTCCGGTGGGAAGACAGCCAGGAGTGAGCCTAGCATGGGGGACATGAGTTGGTTGTCTTTGACCCCTGCCGCAACATGGCAAGATTGAAGTCTGGGGTTTCTCAAGATAGCACTGGAGCCAGCACCTTTGAGCACTCAGGTGGGAGTAGTTTGCATGGAGGAGGAGGAGGAGGAGGAGGAGGAGGGGAGAGATGGCTGCTGCTGCCACTTCCTCAGCCCCCGAGAGGAGAGAATGGTGAGGGCACTCACCCACAGATCCTCCCCCCGTTGTTGAGCTGGGGCAGCTGGGGTGGGGAAGGCCCAGCCTCTGCGGTCCACAGGTTTATTTATAAGTCAGTTGGTGCACATGCAGAACCATGAGGGCGGCAGCACAAAGCTGCGTAACAACTAGATTAAAGAGGCCTGACAGGGTGGCAGGCCCCCTGAAGGGTCCCCAGGCCACAGTCTGGGCCCTGAGATTCATCGGACAGTTCAATCTGGTCTTTGCAACCAGGGACTAACTCATGAGAACCAGGCCCATTAGAGGTTCCTGGTAGTCAACCAGGATCCACTCCTTCCTGGCTCAATGCTAGGACGATGGGATGACGGGTTAGTCAGTCAGGGGGGGAATCGGACACGGTGAGTTAGAGGGTTGGGGGCATTTCATAACCGCCAGGCACATGGATGATCTGTTCCATGGAGCGCACCTGGGGGGATTTGGCCACCCCCTTCCTGGGAAGCTGCTTTCTCCAGCTCCCCCATGAACACCACTGCTTTGGCTGCAGTGTCTTTCACAGTTAGTTGGGCCTCAATCCAGTTTCCGATCCGCATCCTTCCTCCTGGTCCTAGGACACGTGTGACACATGTGACAGTGAGGCGTCAGGTGCCTTCTGCCCCGATGCAGGCTTCACAGCACAGGCCCTGCACTGGTCACGCCTCCCGCCTGGCCCCGCAAGCAACTAACGGGTCATGCAGGAAAAGGCCAATTTAAGGAACACATTGTAAAGGAAGCTCTGACACAGTCTTACTGAAAAACAGATTCTGGCCTAGTTTACGGTGAGCTGTAGCACTCGTTAGCTCGTTACCTGCCTAAAAATGCTTATCAAAAAAGAGCAGGGATCGAAAGGACTTGATTTTTTTTATTTAATTTTATTTATTTATTCATGAGACACACAGAGAGAGAGAGAGGCAGAGACACAGGCAGAGGGAGAAGCAGGCTCCATGCAGGAAGCCCGATGTGGGCCTCGATTCTGGGACCTCGGGATCACACCCGGAGCCAAAGGCAGACGCCCCACCACTGAGCCACCCAGGCGCCCCAAAAGGACTTGATTTAAATGAATTACAGTCTTTTAGTGAGTTCCTCAGTTTCTCCGAGTCTCAGCGCCCTCTGTAAAACCAACTGAATCGAGCTGGTTTGCGATGTCACTGTAAGAGTTAGAGACGGAAGCGCCCTCTGTCCAATCGATTGTCAATAAGTGACAGCTGCTGTTGCTGCTGTGGCGTTTTTAAAATTTCATCTTCCCAGCAGTCCACTTGCAATGGAATTGCTCCAAACTATCCTGATTCCTGTCTTCCAGCAGCCTTGACAAGTCCAGCCACATCCTTTTAGATTTTGCATTCCCTTTCCGTTCACAGAACACAAGCCATCTAGCAATACTTTCTTGTTTCAAGGTGTAAGTTTTCCACATTAACCTTTAGTGGTTGAACTGAGTTAATTTTTATTTATTTATTTATTATTTATTTATTTATTTACTGAGTTAATTTTTAAAATTCTAAATACATGGTTTCTTTCCATCAAGAGACATGGGGAACAAAAGAAAGCTAATGCTGCTGTTTGAAATTCAGCACACATGTTCCGTGTGGCTCAGGTGGTGAGTGTCCCAGGCTGCCCACTGGTTCAAGGCTCAGATTCCACAACAGGTCTCAAATTTTAGTGCCTGCGAGTCACCTCGGGATCTTGTTAAGGTGCTGAAACAAATTCGGCGGGTGGACAGAAGGGCTAGAGATGTGACATTTCTAGCAGCTCGGGGTGAGGCCCTCACTGCTGACCTGGGACCTCACTTGAGTGACAAGATCTGGGTGGGAGGAGCCAGGACTCCTTAGGGGTGAGAAAGCCTGGCCCTGTGCTGGGGCCTGAGGCTTGGGATTGGGACTCTGAGGACTGGCAGGGAGAAGGGCTCATGGCCGGTGGAAGTGCTGGGAAGCTTCCTTGCCCCGTTGTTCCTCAGCCCCTGTAGTTGCCAGGCTGCCCCCCTTCCCACTCCCACGGGCTGGGTTTTCCCTGCACTGCCTACCTCGCCGCAGCCTGGCTTCCCCTGGTTCCTAGAGCCGTCACTCTACGCAGAAAGCTTTCCTCACGACGTGTATTTCTAGTAAACAGTCTGGGATTCAGAGGTTTGGGCCTCATCTCTTTTTCCCCCTCTTTAAAAAAAACTTAGATCCTATAAGGAAATGCCAAGTAGCGCAAAGACGGAATCCAGCCCCCTTGCCCGTCTTACCTGCCTGCCTGACCTCATTCCTGTCTTCTCCCTCTGGGGGACTGTAAGACCTTTGAGGGCAAGACCAGAAAAATATTCGTCTTTGCATTCATACAGCGTGTGTCCAGACCCAGGCGAATGCCAGGCATTTGCAAGAAGACAACCAGTGGACACAGTGGCAGTGGGAGAGCAAGAAAGGATGTCATGGTGGCAGTGAGTGAGGATGAGAAGCCCGTTGAACGTCAGATTTGCCAGGATACGTTTCTGGCAGTTTTATGACCACCTTCCAGCGGACACAGGCTCTAGGCCTAGGTCCTTCCGGGCGTCATTCCCCGGACCTTCTTTGGGGGGTAGGGGAATTAGTCTGTGTGAGGCACCAGTTTTGCTTCTAATACCTTAGGGCAGGGCAGCCCGGGTGGCTCAGCGGTTTTGCGCCGCCGTCGGCCCAGAGCCTGATCCTGGAGACCCGGGATAGAGTCCCGCGTCGGGCTCCCTGCATGGAGCCTGCTTCTCCCTCTGCCTGTGTCTCTGCCTCTCTCTCTCTCTCTCTCATGAATAAATAAATAAAATCTTTTTTAAAAATAATAATACCTCAGGGCATTTTGGCCCAGAAACCTCCCCTGCTAGGATACTTCTTCCAGAAGAGTAACATCTTGACAGTGTTGTAAAGGTGATTACATCCTTTGGCCTGGGGGCGCCTGGGTGGCTCAGTGGGCTAAGCCTCGGACTCTTAGTTTTGACTCTGGGTCATGATTTCAGGGTCCCGAGATCAAGCCCTGTGACAGGCTCTACACTCAACAGGAAACCTGCTTGAGATTCTCGCCCTCTGTCCCTCCACCTCAAAAAAATAAATCTAGGGGCATCTGGGTGGCTCAGTGGCTGATCATCTGCCTTTCGTTCAGGTCATGGTCCCCGGATCAAGTCCCACATCGGGCTCCCCGCAGGGAACCTGCTTCTCTCTCTGCCTCTCTCTGTGTCTCCCATGAAGAAATAAACAAAATCTTTCAAAAATATACAAATAAAAATGTAAAAAATAGTTGGCCTGTGTGCATAGCTGTTCATTTGGTGGGAGGGGGTTAGGAGGTCAGGACTGAGTATTACTAAAAAGCCTAGTGTATGACGGGCCGTCTCTCTTCTGTCTCCACAGGTCGGTCAGCAGGACTGCTGAAAGCCTAGCTGTGCAGGATGCCTGTGCCGCCCCCGCCGGCGCCCCCGCCGCCGCCCACCTTTGCCCTGGTGAGTGACTCCTGGGCCGCCATGGCTCGCAGCAGGCCCGGTGAGGTGGGACCTGGCACACGTGCGTCTGCTTTGACGACAGGTGCATTCTGGCCTGGGCCCCAGGGTGCAAGGCCCGGGCAGGGCAGAGAGGGCACGGATGTGCACTCTGGCGTTTCCTCCGGCAGGTACAGCGCGGGGGCCCCGGCTGCAGGGGTTCTGACCAGCACCGTCCAGGGGGACCCAACCTCTAGCCTTTGCTGCTGGACCCAGGCCTCTGTGTGCAGCGCTGCGTTCAGGCTTCCTGCAGACTCACTCTTTTCTTTTTCTCTGACTTTTCCCTTCTTCTTACTTTTTTTTTTTTTTTTTGGCAAATATCCTCCACCACCCCCACCCCCATCCCCACTTCCCCCACACTCACATCCTTCTTTAAATCTCTCCTTTCAGGGGCCCTTGGGTGGCTCAGTCTGTTAAACTTCCATCTCTTGGTTTCAGCTCAGGTCCTGATCTCAGGGTCATGAGATCGAGCCCAGTCTGGGGCTCCATGTGGAGTCTGCTTGCGATTCTCTCTCCCTCTCCTTCTACCCCTCCTGCTCATTCTCTCTCTCTCCTTCTGTCTCTGTCTCTCTCTCTCTTCAGTAAATAAATCTTTAAATCTGCCCTTATATTTAGAGGTCTACTTTCCAAAGGAATTTTCTTCACTGGTGTCCTCCTCATCTCACTAGACCTGTCCCCAGAAATTAGTGCACCCCTGCTCTGGAAGCTGCAGCCCTCCACGTGGTGATGCAGGAAGGCTCCCACATGCACCCCATTGCCCCATTACCTCCCTCAGTGTGTGAAGGTTCCACTCCTGAGGAGCCTCCTAGTGATGGGTCCTTCAGTTTTCACTTGGGGAAACTGAGGCTCAGAGAGGCAGCGTCTCTTGCCCAGGCTTCCACAGGACACATTTTATAGCCCATCTGAGGTTGGAACCTAGTTGGAAGAACAAACAATTAATTAGCTTGCTGCTACTCAGTGTGGTCCTCTAGCTGCCTAGGGGGGTTAGCAGCCCCAAGAGACAGGTGCAGAAATTGAGTGAGCGTTACCACTTACAGTAATTTGACGATAGTGTTATGTCAGTTTCTAAGAATGTATTTTCTGTGTCTCTTTTTTTTAACTAATTAATTATTTTAAAAAATACTTATTTATTTTTAGAGAGTGTGTGTGCAGGCAGGATAGGGGTGGGGCAGGGAGAGAAAGAGAGAATCTCAAGCAGACTCCTCGCCCAGCAGAGAGCCCGAGGTGGGCCTGCTGTGATCACAACCCTGAGATCATGACCTGAGCCGAGATCAAGAGACAGATGCTCATCCGATTGAGCCACCCAGGAGCCCCCAAATTCATTTTTCTAATAATAATTGTTATTTTACAAAAATACCAGTCCAAGATGAATTGAAAAAAATTTTTTTTAAGATTTTATTTATTTATTCGTAGAGACAGAGAGAGAGGCAGAGACACAGGCAGAAGGAGAATAGGCTCCATGCAGGGAGCCTAATGTGGGACTCGATCCAGGGTTTCGAGGATCATGCCCTGGGCTGCAGGCTGTGCTAAACCGCTGCGCCACCAGGGCTGCCCGAATTGAAACAAATTTTTAAAAAACTGATCCTTCACTTAGATACGTTTAAAAAGTTCTGATCCAGGGGTGCCTGGGTGGCTCCATCGGTTGAGTGTCTGCCTTCAGCTCAAGTCATGATCTCAGGGTGCTGGGATTGAGCCCCATGGTTGGGTTCCCTGCTCAGCAGGGAATCTGCTTTTCCCTCTCCCTCTGTCCCTCCCCCCACTCATGCTCACTCTCTTGCTCTCTCAAATAAATAAAATCTAAAAAAAAAGAAAAGAAAGAAAAGTTCTGATCTGGCTAACAGAGGGATTTGTTTATCTCTATTTCTACAAAAGTGGTTCTATACCACTAGCTGGTTAGTATGTGAATTAATTTTTTTTTATTAATGCTCATCTGTTGATTTTAACATGTGTCCTAAAATTTATAACTAGCACATCAAACTAAAGATTTAATAGAGAGTTAGTTTAAAAAGAAAATATTCACTGAAAAATAGTATAAATAATATAGTGAACTGGCTTAATGAAAAATATTTAATGGATAATAATAATACAGGTAGCTGAGAAGACATCCAGGTCATTCAACTGGTACCAGAATGAAATTTATCCCATCAGCTCATTTGTATCCATTGTTATGTGACCAAGAGCAAGAACCTAGCGAAACAGGATACAGAGATGAGCAAAGGGAACGGTGGCTCGGTGGCCATCCTAGGGCACTGTCTAGTGGAAGAGCTCAGTTAAGGACTCTGGACTGCCACCTGAGAGGAATTAGCACCCACGGAGGCCAGGCCTCAAAATAAATTTGAAGGCATAACAGGAGCCCAGTGAAAATTGCTGACCTCAAGCTGTTAAGAGAGGCAGGGTTGACAGTTGCTTAACTTCTCTGGGCCTCAGAGAAGGTTTCATCCTTAAAATGAAGACAGTAGGTCATTTTTAAAGTTCTTTCCAAGATGTCCAACCTGTGTTGTCAAGTTGAAAAAAACAAATTTCAGAGCAATGGAAGATGACTCCATTAGCAAAAGCGAACTATACAGCTAAGTCACGGCACTTTTGGAACTGACTGCTGAGAAGCCGCTAGTATTAACAGGCTTGCTCAGGGGAGTGTTGGAGACTGGTGGGGAGGGGGCATTTTGTCACTTTTTTTTTTTTTCCAACTGAGATATAATTGACATTTAACATTACAGACGTTTAAGTTACACATGTTGATTTGCTACATTTTTATATTGCAGTGTAATGACAACCTTGGCTTTAGCTAACGCCTCTTTCACATCACATAATTAGCATTCCTTTCTTCTGGTGAAAACATTTAAGATCTAGTCTCTTAGCAGCTTTGAAGTTTATAATACAATATTGTTAACTGTAATCACCAGGCTGTGCAGTTGACCTCCAGGACTTACTCATCTTCTGGTTGTACCCGTTAACAGAGCTCCCCAATTTGGGCAAGGGGCATTCTAGACTCCACATTTGCCCTTCTCTCAAGTGGCAGGGAGGGCTCTGGAATCGGACGGCCAGGGTTTGGATCCTAGCTCCTCCTCTGACTAGCTGGGTCACTGGGGCAAGTGAATTTACCTCCCTGTGCCTCTATGGCCTTGTCTCTGGAATGGAAAGAGTGACTCACAGGGCTGATGCGGACTGAAGGAATGAATCCACATAGAGGTGCTAGAGCCTGGCCCACAGTAAAAGCTATAGAAATGTTAACTGCTGTTATTAGGAGCAAGTAATACTTTATAATTATTCCAGGACCCTTTCGGCCTAACACAGAGCTTCTGCGTACCCTGCTTCAGGGTTTTTCTTAGCTTTCCCCCTGCCTCTAACTGATAATAAACCTCTGGGGGAGGTCTCAAGCTCACCTGCCCTAGCTTTACCTCCTGTGGCCCTCACCAACCTCTGGAATCAGACCCTTTCCGGAGGGCTGGGGCCCTAGAAGGCCACCCAGGTCTGCTGGAGGGACTCCTGGGTTTGGGGAAGCCAACTCTCCCTGGGGCCAGGCCAGACCAAGCCCGTTTCTATATGTGACAAACACTGGCATATGTCTACATCCAAGTCCTGTGTGCTGAGCTTGTAGTATCCCCACTCCCTAAAATAACCCTGAGGAAGTGAGATCCCAATTTCATAGTATGGATCTTTCCCCGGAAATCTGGAAAAATGAGAAACTACCTAAGCATTTTAAAGCAGCACACCTTCGTCCACTCCACGGTCTCTGTGAGCTAAGCTTTCAAAGGAATTAAATATGAGAAACAAGGTAGGCAAGGGTGTGTGGGAACTTTGGGGGTTGTGGACGTTTCTAGATCTTGACTGTGGTGGTGGTGACATGACTATGTTTTTCAAAACTTGTAGAACCATACGCTCATGTAGTGGTTTTACTATACGTAAATTATACCTCTGATGTCCCTTAAATTAAAAGAAGAAATCTGGGCAGCCCCGGTGGCTCAGCGGTTTAGCGCCGCCTTCGGCCCAGGGCCTGATCCTGCAGACCCGGGATCGAGTCCCACGTCGGGCTCCCTGCATGGGGCCTGCTTCTCCCTCTGCCTGTGTCTCTGCCTCTCTCTCTCATTCTCTCTCTCTCTTTCTCTCTCTCTCTCATGAATAAATAAAATCTTTAAAAAATAAAAAAATAAGCAGCATACAGCTGACCTTTGTTCCTAGAGACCATTTTCCCCTGGCTCCGGGTTAGCTCTAAATGACAGGAGAGAGAAGCTGTTCTTCGGGGCACATTCTGGAGTATGAAGCTTTGTAACATTCAGGAGAATCTTCTCAGACTTAAAATTCCCTTCTCGTTTCTAGCCATCCAACCCTGGTTCTGTTGGTTACGGGCAGGTTGTGGTCTGAATTTTTAGAGACTTTTATCAGGGACTGACTCTTCCTGCATTAAAAATGAACGTAATTTATTGCCGCATCTGTTCCCAAATGTCAGGGTCTTAAGAAGAATGACATCGGATCTAAAACTTGCAGAGAATTTACAGCCTATTGCCAAGAAGCTCGGTAACAAGCCTCCGATACCCTGGCTGTCCCTGCTAAATGCTGTAGGACGTGATTTTAATTCGGGAGATGAACTAAGTCTTCACGGTTTTCTTTTAGGCCAATACGGAAAAGCCTACCTTGAATAAGTCAGAACAGGCTGGGAGAAATGCTCTTCTCTCTGACATCAGCAAGGGGAAGAAACTGAAGAAGACCGTCACCAATGACAGAAGTGCACCAATATTGGACAGTAAGTGCAAAGAGCTGTTTTCCATCGAGATAAGTGATCTGTGGCCTCATAATCAACCCAGTCCTTCCAAAAAGAATTTTTATCTTTTTGGTTTTCCTTTCTTTTTTTTTTTTTTTTTTTTGGTTAACAACAGCTGCAAAGCTAGCAAAATAAGGGACTGTATCACTCATTGTAGCCACAGCTCCGGCTTGGGTTCCCTCTAATGCTGCAGGAAGCCAGTATAATAATTCTTTGTCCAAGACACACACAGTAGCGATTCTCTGAATTATTCACAACACTTTCGGGAAGTTAACCCATTACTCTTTGCACCACAGATCAAAAGGCAGCATGAAATATGGAAAGGGTCCCAGCCTTGGAATCAAAGGATGTAGGTTTGAGTTCGGGCACATCTGTCACTTGCCATCTCCAAGCCTTACTGTCTTCACATGTAAAATGGAGAGAATGCCTGTTCTGCTGCCTTCACAGTTTGCTGTGAGCACCAGACGAGACAATGCAAAAGTGTTTTGTGGTCTGGAATGTGTCAGTCAAGTGTGAGATGTGATTTTCAGGAGCTGGGAGAGAGGAAATGAGATCACAACTTTGCTTATCTACCCATCGTAAATCTGAGATACGTTCTAGAACAAGGCAGGGTATGTATAAACAAACAGGTACCCACAACACAGGACTCCTGTTAACATTTACAACAGAGTGAAAATGTATCCACGACTAGACCTTAATATCCAGGCCTTCAGACTGTCTCCTCATGTTCCTAGACCATTCCACTGCCAGCCAGGTGCCCCGAAGTACATCCTACACACAGATCTCATTTGAACTTAGTAGAAAATAGACTGACTTTCCAAAATCACCAGAGGGAGTTTTGGAGACGGTGAACAGTGCTGCTGGATTTTAGCCAGGTCGAGGAGTAGAAATGTTTAGGACGAATTTCCAGGAGAATGGAGAAGAGAGAAGGCTCAGAGTTAGGTGAGAACATTGGTGTGGGAGGGAAATGGGAAAGAGGAAGACCCAGACAAAGGCCTTTGCCTGGTGCTCTGCTACCAGGGTCTGTGTTGCAGAGGAGAGTACAGCAAGCCTCCAAAAAAGAACTGTGGGGTCTTTTACCCTCAACTTGACACAGTGACATCTTAGTCAAAATGCCCGTGAAACCAATATGGTTATTTTATAATCCCATAGTCATCTTGATTGGTGTCACAGAATTCTCTCCCTGAGGGGAGCCCAGTACCCCTTATCTCTGGAGAGCCTCGGTCCCAAGCTGTGTGAGTCCTGGTGCCTGGCATGGGGCCAGAGGAGCTCCACAAACTGCTGAGCGCCGGGACAGAGCTCGGTTGTCCTTTCCTTTAGGAGAAGGAGCGGGGAGCTTGAGAGAGGTCGATGTGAAGTCCCCACTGATAGTGAAGGACACTGGACAGTCGGTGGCCTCTTCCTGAAGCCACTATTAGAAACTCACTGTATTCTTCAAGGTCCACTTCTTCGCCCATTAAATAGAAATAAGTATGCTTCTCCCTTCCAGCTGTTCCATGATGTCTATGAATGCACTTTGCTTCGTGGACACAAAATGCCACCCAGTGCATGCTCATGTTGTCCATGCACCTAATGGACATACTATTGTCACAGGCTCTTTGCAAGGGGCAAAGTCCACCCGTGGTTTTGTATTTGTTTGCAACTGAAGCCTCCCTGGATTCTATGTCAAAACGTTGACCATACAGAAGTATCCTGTTTAAATGCAGTATTCCAAAATCTATCATTGATTAATGAATAATATTTGACTGTCAAGGGCATTATTAATATTATTGGTAGTAATTAAAATTAGTAAAAAAAATTGTAATTTTTTTATAGAAGCAATTTTACATATAATTCTGGAAATTGTTATCATAATCTGATTTGTTAGGTGAGGTAATCCTTGTCATTTCACTATTAGATTATTTCTTCTGTCAGCAGAGCTCCCATTGGCTCCACACCTACAAAAATGCAGTGCTAACAAGGATGTGGGATCAATCCAATCAAGAAAAAAAGAAAACACAAATGAATAAAATTAGAACTGAGAATGTAGATTAGTAAGAGATTCAAAGCAGATTTTTTAATGTTTTTATTTATTTTTATTTTTTATTTATTTATTTATTTTTAAAGATTTATTTATTTATTTATGATAGATATATATATATATATAGAGAGAGAGAGACAGAGACAAAGGAGGAGGGAGAAGCAGGCTCCATGCCGGGAGCCCGACGCGGGACCCGATCCCGGGACTCCAGGATCGCGCCCTGGGCCAAAGGCAGGCGCCAAACCACTGAGCCACCCAGGGATCCCCTATTTTTATTTTTTATTTAAATTCAATTTGCCAACATATAGTGTAACGCCCAGTTCATCTCATCATGTGCCTTCCTTAGCACCCATCACCCAGTTACCCCATCCCTCCACCACCCCCCTTTTGCAACACCCTTTTTGTTTCTCAGAGTTTCTCACAGTTTGTCTTCCTCTCTAAACTTTCTCCACTCAGTTCCCCCATGGTCCCTTTCACTATTTCTTATATTCCACATATGAATGACACCATACGATAATTGTCTTTCTCCGACTGACTTATTTTACTCAGCATAATATCCTCCAGTTCCATCCAGGTCGATGTAAATGGTAGGTATCCATCCTTTCTGATGGCTAATATTCCATTGTATATATAGACCACATCTTCTTTATCCATTCAACTGTCAAACAACATTGTGGTTCCTTCCACAGTTTGGCCATTGTGGGCATAAAAGCAGACTTTTTTCAAATAAGAATGCTGTGATGAATTTATATGCTGAAACATGTTAAAATCTTCAAGAAATTAATTTTTTACAAAAGGCATAAATTTACCAAAATCCACTCATGTAGCTTTAATAAGCAAGGAAAAAGTTGAAAACTTTATCAAGCTACTTCCTCTCTGAAAAAGCTTTAGAGCCAGATGATTGTATTCTTTCAGATTTTAAGAACGCGCCAATTCGGGATCCCTGGGTGGTGCAGCAGTTTGGCGCCTGCCTTTGGCCCAGGGCGCGATCCTGGAGACCTGGGATCGAAAATCCCACATCGGGCTCCCGGTGCATGGAGCCTGCTTCTCCCTCTGCCTATGTCTCTGCCTCTCTCTCTTTCTCTCTCTGTGACTATCATAAATAAATAAAAATTAAAAAAAAATTAAAAAAAAAGAACGCGCCAATTCAAATGCTATACAGATCATTCCCAAAGATAGGAAGAGACGGAATGCTATCTGAATAATGTAATGAGATTCGCGTGATCCTGACCTCAAACTCGACCAAGGCAGCACAAGCACAAAAAGCAAGCTCTATACCAGTGTCCCAGGGGACATGTGGCGATGTGTGGAGGCATTTCTAGCTGTCACAACTTGGCCACGGAGGGGTTCCTACTGACATCTAGTGGGTAGAGGCCACTACATTCTACAGAGAACAAGGCAGCTCCCCACGCACAAAAAATTATCTGACCTAAAGTATCAGTAGTTCCAGGGTTAAAGGCGTGCCCGTTAAAATCAAACTATGGTTGCCTTTAGAAATATGAATAATTTATATTGTATAGAAGTTCAGTCATCAAAGTAATTACTTACAAAACTAGAAATACAATAAGATATACAACTATGAGACAAGAGGAAGCAAAACCTTATTATCTGCAGACCATATGTCTGGTAGAAAACCCAAGATAATAAATTTTTTATAAATTTTAATTTAGAAATTATAGCAGAACCAGGACGCCTAGGTGGCTCAGCAGTTGAGCGCCTGCCTTCAGCCCAGGGTGTGATCCTGGGGTCCCAGGATCAAATCCCACATCGGGCTCCCTGCATGGAAACCTGCTTCTCCCTCTGCCTGTGCCTCTGCCACGTGCTCTCTCTGTGTCTCTCATGAATAAATAAATAAAATCTTTTTAAAAAAAGAAATTATAGCAGAATGGTTTATTAGATGTCAAATGAAATTTACTGATGCCAATGATAACAAGTTACAAAAGGGGAAAAACACCCGTTTCACAATTTTAGCAAACAAAAATCTATCAAAGTAACCTTAACAAAAAAAAGCATGTGACCCATGTCACAGAAATTCTAAAACTTGACTGAATGAACCAGAAAACCTGTAAGAATATGCCATGTTTCCATATAGTCTAAGTATCATAAAAGTGTCCATTCTCCCCTGTTGATTTGTAGATTTCGTGCACTGCTTATTAAAGACTTTAGAAGACTTTTCAGGGGTAAAACTTTTTTTTTAAGGTTTTATTTAATTATTTGACAGAGTATAAGCAGGGGGAGCGGCAGGCAGAGGGAGAGGGAGAAGCAGGCTCCTCGCTGAGCAAGGAGCTGGACCCGAGCCCAAGGCAGACACTTAACTGACTGAGCCACCTGGGTGCCCCTCCAGGGGTTGAACTTTAAACAGTGTTTAACCTTATAAATACAGACGTGCATACATCATAAATTATATGAGACACTTTTCTAAAGAGGGTTATAATCATGGCTCTCATATAGATTTAAAATGAATATATGTCAAATATTTTGAGTCATTAATTACTGAGGGAAGCAGTATAATGTTACCAGTGAAAAGGAGAAAAGTACTACACATATCAGAGCTAAAGTTAATTTACAGGTAGGTACAAAACCCATCTGTAATCAATTGCATCCCACTGAACACTACTAATTTACATTTCTGTGGACAATTATTATCAGTTTTCTACAACTTACATAGTTGTAAAATAACTCAAAGACAAGGGAAATAACCCAAAAGTCTAGACAGGATACTTAGTAATCTTTTTCTTTTTTCTTTCTCTCTCTTTTTTTTTTTTTTTTTTTTTTTTGTCGTTTATTTGTCCATCTCAGAATCTTCCACAGTTTTGGGGAAATAAATGCAAAATAAAACAGTATCTTTGTACCATCTTCAAGTGCAAGGAGTCTTTTTAAATGTTTAAGCTTACCGTTGGGCTTTATATTGAAATCAAACCATAAGGCCATTGAATAAGTAGATGATCAAAAGAACTACAGTATATTCATGTTCTAAAACACAATGTGGTCCCTTAAACTCATGTTTTCAAAAAATATTTGATGACCTGGAAAATGCTAACAATAAAGTGGTACATGAAAAGAATAGGCTTAAAACTGTTTAGTGAATTTGATCTTAATTTTGAGAAAATATAAAATGAAAAAGTACTAGCAGGAAAAAAGTATGCCAAAATAGTGTATATTTCCAAGGAATAAAATGATGGGATGTTTTCTTTTCTTCCCCTTATTTTTACCATTTCCTTTCTTCTCACCTTTTACTGCATCTCCCCCTCCCTTGGGACTTACTTTCTTTGAAGATTCTTTTATTTGCCAGATCTTAGATATTAACTCGGACGCAGCTAGCCAAGTAGGGAGCGTGGGGGCAAGGCATCATCTATTACTGATTCTCCTGCCTGTGTCTGCCCTGGAGTGAAAAAAAAGAAGAAAGAAAAAAAAAAGCTTTTCTGACTGGGGGTAGGGTGAATTGTTAAAAGCCTGCATTTTAATGAAATCCCAGTAGTCCCCCATAAACCCAGTCTGAGCCAGCTCCCTGTTTGACTGTCATTGTTTATTGTTTACTTGGGCTGGACTCTGGTGATGTTTTCATACATGGTGAAGAGACTGTGTTTCCTTCCTTCTGCAGAACCTAAAGGAGCCGGTGCTGGTGGTGGTGGTGGCTTCGGTGGAGGTGGCGGTGGTGGCGGTGGTGGAGGCGGTGGCGGCGGTTTTGGAGGAGGTGGACCACCTGGCTTGGGAGGACTGTTCCAGGCTGGGATGCCGAAGCTGAGATCCACAGCCAACAGGGATAGTGGTAAGGAGAGTTTCTTTCTCTTAGTTAACAAGATGAGGCACAGTTCAGTGGTTTGGAGGCTTGGCGTCTCCTCTAAGGCACTGTGCCCTTTCAAACATTTTAGATTGCTTGAAATGTTAACACCGTTTTTATAAGAAAGACTCTATTTAGCATCTTTTTCTTTTTTAATCAAAATCAGACTGAGCTGTTAAATATTTGCCCGATCTCCCTGGGGTAACTTGTACTTTTTTGTACTGTTCTAAAGGGTGAGCTAGAGTGGGAAGAAAAAGGAGCAAATGGAACTTGCCACCCCTGGAAAATCTGCCTGGTGACCTGGCACATTCGCTTTTCTTTGTGAGGTAGACAAACCCAGCTGTCCAGTATAGTAAATACTTGTGAACCACTTTTCCAACACACTATGGAACATGTTTTACGGAATATGATGACATATCTTACTAAGTCTAAAAAGGTGTTTTGCATGACAGACATCTGGCATTTGAGGGCCAGTGATTCTAAATATTCTCTGCAGGAACACATGGAAATGAGTCCTATGGGATTGTCTCCAAACCTAACGGCAGAGAGAAAAATTGAATTTGGTCATGCCTAAATAAAAACCCTACAAAGTGCATGAGGCTCAATAAGATTTACCATAAAACTTTCAGTATTAATGTTTGTTGTGTTAGAAAAATTTTATTTCTAATTCTGTGATCGTTTAATATGCCTGCTGGGAAAGTATGAAATGCTCACAGTCACATGAAGGTGAAACCACTGAATCCTCAGGGTTGGATGGTCAAATGTAAAAAGATAAACTCCATAAAATGAGAGATTCTATCTTGCCAAACCTGCATTTACATTTAAATTTATTTTTTTTTATAAGTTAGCTTTTTTTTTTTAATTTTTATTTATTTATGATAGTCACACACAGAGAGAGAGAGGCAGAGACACAGGCAGAGGGAGAAGCAGGCTCCATGCACCGGGAGCCCGACGTGGGACTCGATCCGGGGTCTCCAGGATCGCGCCCTGGGCCAAAGGCAGGCGCCAAACCGCTGCGCCACCCAGGGATCCCTACATTTAAATTTACTTATTTAAAACCCACAAGAAAGATGGCGGCAGCTGACTAATGCAGACTTTCAGTAGTTTGACAATAGGTGAAGAAATTAAGGCAAAGACAACTGAAAATAAAATCCTAAAATGAAGATGGAATTTAAGTTAGTGCACAAAATGGTATACAGATGTATACGTCACCCTAGTGTACCATCCGCATCATGAACATCATCCATGTGACGTGCACATGGCTGATAACTGCAGCTTCAATCTGAACTTGGAAGATATAATTTATCACAAGTTGGTGGACATAGAAATATACCACACAGTCATGGGAAATACAGCTTTTTTCTAGTACTAAAGTTGAAATTAAAAATTCTCTCTAGAGTTCATGTTACTCCGCTACATAAATCCATCCAGATGTCTCTCATTGTGCCTTGGATGAACTCTAAAGTCGTCTGATTTACAAGGCTCCTTATGACCTGTTTGCTAGGTTCTCCATGCTCACTGTGCCCCAGGCACACAGGCCTTAGCTTTTCAACTTGAAGCTCATTCCCACCCCAGGACCTTTGCCCCTGCTGGCCCTCTGCCTAAAGCACCTTCTTTCCGTCTTTCTGTGGCTGGCCTCAGCTCAAACGTCACATCTTCAGAAAAGCCATCCCCAGCCAACCACCCTATCTGTCCTGTTCTCTCCCATTTCATCAAACTTTTTTTGTTTCTTTTTAGTACTTCTAACTATCTGAAAATATTTCTATGTTTGCCAGTTTATTATTTATCTCCCCCACAAGAATGTAAACCACAAGAGAGCAGGATCTTTTCTATATAGTTTACCCTTCTGTTTTTAGCATCTAGAATGATGGCTGGTATACAGCAGGTACTCAATAAATACTTGGTACATTAATTAGCTTATGGTTGAAGTGGTAGGAGTTTTCAGGCTAACCATTTTTTTGAGAATTACTTTGGGTTCTAAGAGATTCTGGGGTGGTTGTTGGAATTTTTCCATAACTTTGGTTCCTTTTGTTGAACCAGAGTAGTTTAATATTAATTATGTAATAGAGTCATTCTGTCCTGCCAATGTTGAAGTGAAAATTGACTCAGTAAGGAAAAACAGTCGCATAGTTCCTTGCTTCTTGCAGATTAAGACCAACCACTGGTGTCCAGTCTTTCAATTGAACTCTGACAGTTGCCTTTTCCTTTGTTGGTTTTTTTCTTATTTCAGTTATGATTCTCCCATTAAAGAAAAGTTTTCCACTTTTCTCCTGGGAATTTTTTTTAGAGGGACTAGGGAAGCCGTCCCATATGGAGATTCATGTTGGGATAACTAATTTTTCACCAAACATGGCTAAATCATTTTTCAGACTGGAGAGGTACAGGCACAGGAGGACAGGGATGGTGAGAGGGAGAAAGAAAACCCCTAGCAGAAACCCCATGTACCAACACTATCCTGCTCCTCTCCTCTCATGATGGATAGGGATTTCTCCAGAACCCTTCCCAGCTTCATCCGGTGCTTGTCCACATGGATTGCCAGGAGGGCTCTCTAAAATCCTTTTGCAAGCTGACAGGTAGTGGGACCTGGAACTAGCAGGTAGGTACATAGGGATCCGTGATATATTTTTCGGCCTCCAGGAAGGACCACCCAGAACCCGATTGACAGAAGTAATAGTTACCTATACTTTATGGCGTCTAGGAGAGGACTGGCAGTGGCTGAGAATACACTCTCGTTCTCTGATTTCCTGAGGGGCTCCTCATTTTCTAACTGGACTTTTGCCCCCTGTTCTTCAGATTCTGGAGGAAGCCGACCCCCAATGTTGCCACCAGGAGGAAGATCCACATCTGCCAAGCCGTTCTCACCGGCAGGTGGCCCGGGCCGGTTTCCAGTGGCTTCTCCAGGCCACAGAAGTGGTCCCCCAGAGCCTCAGAGGAACCGGATGCCTCCCCCGAGGCCCGACGTGGGCTCAAAACCTGAGAGCATCCCCCCGCCAGTACCCAATACGCCCAGACCCATTCAGTCAAGTCTGCACAACCGGGGGGCCCTACCAGTGCCCGGGGCCCCCAGGCAGCCCAGCCCTGGGCCAACCCCCCCGCCCTTCCCTGGAAGCCGAGGTGCAGCTTTTGCAGGAGGCTCCCCCCGCCAGACATCCTCTAGCTCCTCATCGTCCTTCTCCAGCAGGCCTCCCCTGCCCCCCACACCCAGCAGGGCCTTGGATGACAAGCCGCCCCCTCCACCGCCCCCGGTGGGCAACAGGCCCTCCATCCACAGGGAAGGGGTCCCACTCCCTCCCCCTCAGAACAGCAAGCCCCCAGTGCCTTCTACCCCCAGGCCTTCCTCCTCCTCCTCCTCACAGGCCCCACCCCCGCCACCTCCACCCAGCAGGCCCGGCCCTCCTCCCCTGCCTCCGGGTTCCAGTGGCTCCGATGAAACCCCAAGACTCCCACAGAGGAATCTGTCCCTCACTTCGTCTACACCGCCTTTGCCTTCGCCAGGGCGATCAGGCCCTCTTCCACCCCCGCCCACTGAGAGACCCCCTCCTCCCGTGAGGGACCCACCCGGCAGATCAGGTAAGGCACCACCCCGGCTGAGTGGCCTTTTTTTTTTTTTTTTTTTTTTTTAACGATTTAATCATTTATGAGAGACACAGAGACACAGGCTCTCTGCGGGGAGCCCGGTGCGGGACTCGATCCCGGGACCCCCAGCCAAAGGCAGATACTCAACCGCTGAGCCCTGGGTGCCCCTGCGTGGCCCTCCTACAGCCCAGCCTTCCCTATGTCCCTCGGCATCTAGGAGCCAAGGGTGTCCAACAGCAGCTCTGCTCCTTTCAGTGACACCCGTGTCTGACTTCACCCTGACGTCCTGTGCACCTCTGGGGAAAGTGGGACCTGGTATTTCTGTCTGCGTTTTAGAGATGAGGAAACTGGATAACCTATAAAGTCCTCACCAGCTAGTTACAAAGAGGCTAGAACTTTCACCTCCCGTTCTCACATGTGCTCACCACTCTACGGCCCTGCCCTCCCTAAAGAGGATTGCAGCTGTCCTACTTGGGGAGCTAAATTCCCATCTCCGGCAAGAGTGATCCATGATCAAAGAGCGATTCGGGGCAGCCCCTGTGGTGCAGCGGTTTAGTGCCGCCTGCGGCCTGGGATGTGATCCTGGAGACCCGGGATCAAGTCCCACGTCGCTCGGGCTCCCTGCATGGAGCCTACTTCTCCCTCTGCCTGTGTCTCTGCCTCTCTCTCTCTGTGTGTGTGTGTCTCTATGAATAAATAAAATCTTAAAAAAAGAGCCATCCATGATCAGGGGCGATCCATGATCGCAACAAGGGCAGCGATTTAGGAGCTAATGAACTTTTCCTGTGCTGCTGTCTTCAGCTGTCAAGCCTAGAGGCCACTTCCCTGCCCACTAAAAACAAGTATGAGAGCCCGTTTTGTTGTTAACATCTCTGGCACATAGATGCCTTGGAGAATCAGATAAAGGTAGAGGCCTTTTGTTCATAAAAATGCTCCTAAGCATAAACTCTTTCAGGGATCGCAGGCCCTTGCTGAAGCTCATCTGTGCTCCTGCCTCGGGTGGAGAAAGCTGGATCTCAGGGAGGAACTTTGAGACTAAATGAAATGAAGTGAGGGTTCCCTAGAGCTTATACTCTGTCCTAATTATAATAGGTGCTTTTGGGGATCCCTGGGTGGTGCAGTGGTTTGGCGCCTGCCTTTGGCCCAGGGCGCGATCCTGGAGACCCGGGATCGAATCCCACATCGGGCTCCCGGTGCATGGAGCCTGCTTCTCCCTCTGCCTGTGTCTCTGCCTCTCTCTCTCTCTCTGTGACTATCATAAATAAATAAAAAAAAAAAATTTAAAAAAAAAATAGGTGCTTTTTATTTCACAGTGGTTATGGATGGGTTCAGTAGAACCATCTACGTTTTTAATTTAACCTTATTATATATACAAGATGCCTGGAAATGGGGCATTTTTTCCTTTAGGAGAAGTTAAGCTTTTGCTCTGTGACCTCAAGCACCTAATAAACACCACTCTTTTTTTTTTTTTCCTAAGATTTTATTTACTTGAGAGAGAGAGTGAGAGCAAGCACACAAGCGGGGGGAGGGGCAGAGGGAGGAACAGGCTCCCCACAGAGTATGGAGCCCGATTGGGGAGGGGGGGCTTGATTTCAGGACTCCAGGATCATGACCTGAGCTGAAGGTAGATGCTTAACCAACTGAGCCACCCAGGCACCCCTAAACACCACTCTTTAAACCAATAGTCCTTGAAGGTGACCATGGGCTAAAATCACCCATAGAATTTTAAAAACTGTGATCACTGGGTCCCTGCCCCAGGGTCTCTGGTTCATTGGTCTGGGTTAATTTGGGCATCAGGATATCTGAAGGCAGGCTCCCCGGTGATTATAAGGTGCTGCAAGGTTTGAGAAGCGTTACTTCAAACAACTGTGCCACAGAGAGTAGGGTACAAACATAAGCTATTACTAGTCCCTTCAATGCAATCCCTACCCACCGTGACATCTCATTAAGCATTCTCCAAAGAACAAACAAGAACAGATAGATGAATAAAATGCAGGGTTTTCTTCTAATTCAACAGCTATGGGTTTTCCCCTAGACTGAGGAGCTTGTTTGCATGGCTTTCCCAAATGGACAAATCAACAGATTAAATCTTCCTCCAAAATAGGATAGGCTGTGACATATATAATATTTATTATTTCTTTTAGTTACATAAGTCATGTCTGTTTATTATGGAAAATACACAAAAGTATAAAGAAAACATAAATGATCTATATTCCTGTCACCACCCAGAAATAATCATTCATAACATTTTTTATTATCCTTTTAGTCTTTTTTAAAATATATGTTTTGAGGGGTGGGTGCCCGGCTGGCTCAGTCAGTAGAGCATGCAATTCCTGATCTTGTAGTCATGGGTTCAAGCCCCACATTGGGCATAGAGTTCACTTAAAAAAAAAAAAAAAAACTCAAGACGTGTGTGTGTATATGTATATATATACATATATAAACATATATGTCTTATATAAGTTTACAAAATCAGTATTGCTCTATACATACCATTTGTTATTTGCTTTTTATTTAACAATATCAGCATCTGATATAAACTATTTTTGTACAACCTGACTTCTAATGGCTGCATATTAGATCCTACAAATTTACCTTTATTTAATCATTCAAACTATCTCTAGATTTTTGCTGATGCAGATAATGCAGGGGATACGTTCTTGTAGCTAAATATTTCTGCACATTTTTATATATTTCCTTTGGATTAGTTCCTCAAAATGGAATATCTTGGTCAGTAAGTATGCATCTAGTAAACCATAAATTTCATAGCTACTTCCAAATTGACCTCTAGAAAATTCCTACCAACTTACATTCCCACAAGGATCCTATGAGAGGTGATCAAGGGCCATCTCTAGTGTGAGAGGTGGCTTGGCTTCATTGTAGGGGCATGAGCTTCAGATTTTGACATATTTGGAGTCTTGACAAAACCTAACTGAGGTTTTTAACTTTCCAATACCAGAGGCCTCCCCTGTGTCCCTACACCCCTCAAGGTTGCTGTAAGAATTAAACAAGGCAAGTCTGTATAGTGGTTATCTTAATTCCTAGCATGTAGTGGCATTCAATAAATGATGGCTTATTAGTATTATTATAAGATACTGAAGGGCAGCCCAGGTGGCTCAGCGGTTTAGCGCTGCCTTCAGCCCAGGGCGTGATCCTGGAGACCCAGGATCAAGTCCCACATCGGGCTCCCTGCATGGAGCCTGCTTCTCCCTCTGCCTGTGTCTCTGCCTCTCTCTCTCTCTCTCTGCGTCTCTCATGAATAAATAGTCTTAAAAAAAAAAAAGACATTGAAATATGGGGTGCCTGGGTGGCTCAGTCGGGTTAAGCGTCTGACTCTTGGTTTCAGCTCAGGTCATGATCTCAAGCTTGTGAGATCAAGGCCTACATTAGTCTCTGTGCTCAGGCCAGAGTCTGCTTAAGAACCTCCCCCTCTACTTCTCCCCCTCCCCCACCCTAGCCCCTGCTTGCACTCGTACTCTCTCTCTCTTAAAAAAATAAAATGTAATCTGTTTTCTATTATGCTTGCCTAGGTTTGGAGCAAGAGATCTGTAAGGTTGGAGTTAGGAACATGAACATTTACTTTAAAAGAAAGAGATCAAGTTGATCAGGTTATAGAATACCAGGCCCCATAATATTGTTTGCATTCAGTGACAGTTATGTGGTAGTACCAGTGGAGTTACCCTACAGCATGTGAGACACTTCCCCTCCCGCCCCCCCCCTCCCCAATAAATCAACTCCTCCTGACTGGGACTCCAGCCATGGCAAACAGATGGGGCAATAAGCCCTACCAGCAGAAGCACTGAAGACTCCTTGAGAAATGCATCAGGGCTGGCCTTGCCTCTCGCCTCCACCGGGGGTTGGGGGTAGGATTTCCAGGCAGGGACTTCTGCAAATGGGTGGCTTGTTCGTTTAAAGTCCTTTATCTGGATTCTGAATCTGTAGTTAGTAAACGATATTTATATTTATAAACCATAAGATGTGATAGTTACATAAAATGGCAGCATCTTGCAAGCAAAGCCACATTGCTGAAGGCCAGGAATAATTACCAAGGCCATTTTGATTTGCCTGGGAATGCTAAAGTTTTGTTGTGTTTTTTTTTTTAATTTGTTCATAATCCAAATAGCCTCTGAATTTGGAAGATGAGTCAAGCAAAATAGATTTTTGGGGTGTGTGTGTGTGTCATCAAAAAAGTATTTTTTAGGAACTTAAAAATTTCTGATTATGCCATACCACTGCATTTTTTAAAAAAATGGCTTCAAATACTTATGTAGTGCTTTTTATTAGCTTTTTGGCTACTTATTCTTGGCAGGAGTGCTGTGAGACGACTATCTGGTGCTCTCCTATATACAGAAAATTAAGTTCCATGGGGTAACCAGTTTGCTCAGGGTCTGGATTTTGCACCAGCATGCACAACCATGCACATTGACTAGCTGTTTGTTGCTCTCTGCTAATTTGTCTGCCCAAAGAATAACCCAGAAGAAACTCCTGCCAATCTCAGGATGGTTGATAATTGGGTTTCCAGATGCCACTGCTGCCTAGGAACAGATCATATGCATCACAGAAGCACGCCTGTGGAATTAGCAGTACTACTGTGCATTTAAAGGACCTAATCCCTCTGAAGACCTAAAATAACCTCATAACTGTCTTTTTTCAATTCTTTTTTTAATGGCATTTATTTCACAAGTATCATGTCACATTAATTAGTTCAGTAGCTATTTAAAAGGATTATTAAAATAAAAGGATTATAAAATGTTTTTTAAAGTATATAGTTGCCCATGTAAACAGATTATCAACTGTATCATCTCTCATCTCAGTACTAACTCAAATCCCAAACAGCCAGTTGGCTATCAGTATGCACTCTTTGCACATATACATGGGTACATCTGTGCAGTTCTGTGTTCATATGCACCTGTTCATTGCTTGGCTAAATCTCCTAGAAAGTCTCCACTATTTCTCCATAAGCTCTAGTAAATAGGGCATGCATCCAGTAGGTGCTCAAACTGCACATCGACAGTGATGTAGGATGTAAGGTATTACGATAAATGTTGTCCTTTTGGTTGTTGTTGTTCCAGGCCCTCTCCCACCACCCCCTCCAATAAACAGAAATGGCAGCACATCTCGGGCCCTGCCTGCCACCCCCCAGTTGCCGTCCAGGAGTGGAGTAGATAGTCCCAGGAGTGGACCCCGGCCTCCACTTCCTCCCGACAGGCCTGGCGCTGGGGCACCTCCCCCTCCTCCACCATCAACATCAATTAGAAATGGCTTCCAAGACTCTTCAGGTGAAGGTGAGGTGGGGTCCCTATTCTGGGGGGAGGGACCTTGGAAACATTTACAGGCTACAGGGCAACAACCAAATGGTAAATGCGCGCGCGTGTGTGTGTGTGTTGTATATGTTGTGTGTCTGCATTAACATTTCTTTTTCCTGTGATCCTCATTGTTAGCACACTGCTCTGCTCTAAGTACTTCAAATGAATAGTAGTAATCCTCCTTCCTCTACTTCTCAAAAAGGCTGATCATTTTTCTCTCTCATTATTGGAGTCTCATTTTGGTTAACTTTGTAGAAGATTCTAGAACTCTTAAAAAAAAAAAAAACACTTTTTGTAATTTATCCTCTTATTACCTGCCTTTCTCAGCAGTTTACTGGGGCAAGAGGCCCAGTGATCTGCAAGTATTAAGCAGCTTTCCTCTGCCTTTGTTATGAGAGGGTCTCAGTTATTCCTGGGCCCACTGGCAGGAAGAAAGTGATCTTGAACTTTAGCCCCCAGCTCCTGAGAGGAACTGGCTGGTCCTAATCACTCTTGTTTGAGTCACTTGGATCTATCTGTCTGTGCTTTGATTTGCAGACCAGTGTATGTCATCGATGGGCTAATCAACGACGTATCATTTTCAAGTTTTCTCTAAACTTCTAGGCATAAAACTAAAAGTGATCTCTGCAATTCTCTCTGGTCTTTCATTATGTAAGTCTTATGGCAGGTTGCTACTGACGATACTGTTTGTTTCTCTCCCTCAGATGAGTGGGAAAGCAGATTCTACTTCCATCCGATTTCTGATTTGCCACCTCCAGAGCCATATGTACCAATGGCCAGAACTTATCCCAGTAAACTGGCAAGAAGTGAAACCCGGAGTGAGTATTTCTGCAAGGGATTTTAGTGGCTTCATACTTGAATGGCCTGGGTTATATACAACTGAGGATTATATAGGAAATCCAGGCCTCTTGCCTGGAGCAGGACAGGGAACCTCATGTGGAGCCATCAAAATTCTGGTAAACTTCCCATCCACAAGTGATGGGGACAATGGAGGTATCCAGAATGCATATAAGAAATGATTATTTAAATGTGTCATTACAAGCTCAAAATAACTTTGGTTTGCTAATAGGTTAAATTTTGTTGCTTTGCTTGTTTGGACAACCTTCCCTCTTTCGGTTTTCCTAAGATAGAACAAATAGTGACATCTTCTATTCCTACTAGTTTTGTTACTAATCATAACAAAAACTCATGGTAACTGCTTTGGTATTTTAAATATGTTATGATTAGGGGCATGTGGCTGGATTAGTCAGTGGAGCATGCAACTCTAGATCTCAGGGTTGTGAGTTCAAGCCCCACATAGAGTATAGAGAGCACTTAAAAAAAATCGTAAAAAATGATAAAGTAATAAAATAAATGATTATAGCTTTTAGAGATTATGGGTATATTATGGGTATCTCTCGATACATAATCTCAATAAAAAAATCACAACATATATTATGAGCAGTTTCTCTGCTCATTTTTATCTATATGATCCTGATTGATTTATCATTATAATTATAGAGTATAGTCTTTTGGTGGTGGGGTTTACATAACTTTGCTTAGTAAAACACTTTCCCATTTTATCACATGGTTTTTTATTTTATAGAATTCCATCAAATTGGCATAGAATAATTTAGCTTACCATTATTGGACATTTAGATTGTTTTTGGGTTTTGCTAAAATATATGATACAACCACAGAGAAGTGAATCACTTTTCCTCTATTGAAACAAAAATGTGAACAAGAAGAGGAAATAGAGAAACTGAAATTTTACAATAAATGGTTAGAACAAAGAATCAGCACAGAATGTACACAGATCACTGAGGCGGGTCAGACTTACAACAGCTTTATTTACCTTTTTAAAGATTTTTTTATTCATTTATTCATGAGACACAGAGAGAGACTGAGAGAGGGTCAGAGACATATGCAGAGGGAGAAGCAGGCTCCATGCCAGGAGCCTGATGTCTCCAGGATCACACCCTGGGCTGAAGGCGGCGCTAATCCGCTGAGCCACCCAAGCGTCCCATTACAACAGCTTTAGATTTAGAACCAAACTCCCAAACCAGAAATGAGTGGAGAAAAAGTGTTTGAGCGTTTCAGATAACTGCCACAGCACCCCTAGCCTGTCCTCACTCCTCAGGCAAAGCTCTTACACATACTCAAAGCCTACGGACTCTTTAACACACGGTTCTTAAATAATTTTTGGTTGGATGTTTCCCAACCGGAGAGCAGGTTCATAGCTGCTTAAGTTAACATTGGTTAGAAGCAAAATCAGTGGCTTCATCGAGATGTGTTAGGTGGCAGTCTCGGGTCAAAGGAAGAGACAGGGACACAGAGTTGTACTTTGTGTCACAAGACAGTACTGTTGGATTGTGAAGAACACGTCAAACTGTGCTCTGTGCCACTGCTGAAGAATTTGAAAAATTAGGTGTTTGAAGAAAATTTCCACGAACAAATGCCAGAAGTAAATAGAATATTGCTGCTTGAAAGGAAAAGCGTAATTACAGAAAAACTCATTTATTTATGTGGAATACTCCATTCCTAGATGGTGCCTAATAAAAAAAGGTATAAATAGGGCAGCCTGGGTGGCTCAGTGGTTTAGCGCCACCTTCAGCCCAGGGCGTGATCCTGGAGACCTGGGATTGAGTCCCATGTCAGGCTCCCTGCATGGAGCCTGCTTCTCCTTCTGCCTCTCTCTGTCTCTGTCTGATTCTCATGAATAAATAAATAAAATCTTTAAAAGAAAAGATATAGGGATCCCTGGGTGGCGCAGCGGTTTGGCGCCTGCCATTGGCCCAGGGCGCGATCCTGGAGACCCGGGATCGAATCCCACATCGGGCTCCCGGTGCATGGAGCCTGCTTCTCCCTCTGCCTGTGTCTCTGCCTCTCCCCCTCTCTCTCTCTATGTGACTATCATAAATAAAAAAAAAAAGAAAAAGAAAAGATATAAATATAATAAAATTATACAAGAGTGGAAAAGAAGTCTTCACGTGGGACAGATACCTTTGAGCTCTGTGTGTGTGTAGCATGAAGAGGGGCTTCTTTCTGATAAGAGCAGAGCCTGTATCTCTTCCTTTTGGAGCACTACCAAACCAATTCGCTTTAAGGAGTTATTCATATTGACTCTAAGCATTTTTCCTGATTTCTTGTAAGCATCTTTAATCTAATAGAAGTTCTCTTTGTATATTTAAGTCAGTAACAGAACCATCCCCCCTCCGCTAGATTTTTAATTTCATAGCTGAACACATTCCCTTCCCTGTCCTGCTGTCTCTAAGACTATATGTGACTTGAGGACTGGAACTGCTGTGCTCACTACTGCATCTTCCTCAAGTGCACCGAACCTGAAATATAATAGGCATTTTAAAATATTTCTGAAATTGATGAATTAAAGCCCACTGCCCCCAAAAAATGTTTTTGTAGATTTGCTTTAAATATTTCTAGTATTCTCTCTGTTTAATGGATCATCTCTCTGACAAAACTAACGTGCTGTCGAGCAGTTTTGGCTCTGTGCCTGTAGCTGCCTTGGCCTATAGGTGGGGCACCGCCTGGAGGGCCCCCAGGCAGCCCTGAACAGTGCCATCTAACTGCAGCTCTGCACAGGCCAAGCCGCATTGTACGAACCACTTACAGTATGTCAGCTGATGGTCAGGGCTCTACAACACATGACTGCTTTCCATCCAGATGAGTCTTTTCCTCAGGAGTGGGCCCAAGACAAGACATGGTTGAGATGGCAAGAGGAAGAGGCAAGGTAAACGGGCTGCTAGTGTCTTCCTCTGACTCCTCCTCTTGCTCAGAGAGTTGGTTCTATCTCGGAAGTCCCTGTCGAGATGCCTACTAAAGAATACCTGTCAGTGCCCACTCACCTCGGAGTCCCCCCAGAGCAGACCTACTCAACAGACATAGGCCCCCCCGCTAGATCTGCTCACAGCATCTGAGCACCTGGCTTCATGCCTAAAACCTGTTAGGTCCTCGGAAAAACATACATGGATTTACAAAACGGTGAATGGATTATAAACCTGGTACTCGTATCCATGAATATGCATAGTTTTTAAAAGAACACAGTCAATGGTGAAGAGGCAAACCATGAAATGGGATAAAATATTTGCAAATCATATCTAATAAAAATATATCAGGATATATAAAGAATTCCTGTGATTCAACAACAAAAACCCAATTTTTAAAATGGTTTTAATACTGGAATGCCTGGGTGGCTCAGCAGTTGAGAGACTGCCTTCAGCTCAGGGCGTGATCCCAGGGTCCGGGATCGAGTCCCGCATCAAGCTTCTTGCGGGGAGCCTGCTTCTCCCTCTGTCTGTGTCTCTGCCTCCATCTCTGTGTCTCTCATGAATAAATAAGATATTTTTTTTTAAAAATAAGTTGAATACTTGCATAGGCATTGCCAAAAAAGCACATGAAAAGATGCTCAATACCACCAATCATTAGGGAAATGCAAATAAAACTACAGTGAAATACAACTTCACACCTATTAGGATGGTTACTATAAAAAAAAAATTTAGAAATTAGAGAATACCTAAGTGTCCAACAAAAGGGAACTGATTAGATAAATATAGTAAACCTATATAATAGAATGTGATGTGTCACTTAGAATTATATGTATAAACAGTAACGGCTCTGAAAAATGTCCATACGAACTATACATGATCTTATTTGACAAAGGAAAAATGGAGCTGTTTATATACAGAAAATGAAAGTATTTATATAATGTTATGGTTATCCCTGGGTAGGACAGGCATTGGTTAGTTTTCATTTTGCTTTAGCTCATCCATATCTTCTAAATCTCTAACAAACACGTACTATGTGATAAGAAGTAATTTTTAAAAATGTTCTTAACTTTGTGCAAGTACTTGGTAGCCAGCATTGGGTCATCCCTCTCTCGTAATGTTCACACAGATGCTTGCTTGCTTTCCCTCGCTTCTTCTCGACCATGGGTGCCAGTTACATACAGCCTTGGTCGTAGAGGGTGAGGTGTGGGTACTTCTGCAACCACCCTTTAGTTTGTACAGGGAGATCATAGCTTCCTAACTAAAATTTCTACTTTGTTCTTCCATCAAGGTGGATCCAACCGGAGAGAAAGGGGTGCCCCACCACTTCCTCCCACCTCAAGGTGATCTTTGCCTGCTCTTCTCCACCGGAGTCCAAGAGCTCCATCTGTTGTTGCTGTCCGAGGGCTGCAAGTGCCCCTCCCCTTGTCTTCCCTGGCTCCCTTCATACTGGCAGCAAGGAAGAAGGGAGGGTGATATGGGAATATGTGTGTGGGGGGGTAGGAATGCAGTAAAGAAATGCACCTAGCTTTTTATATTGTGTATATTCTCAAAGTTATTGCTTGCTTCAGCTACAGCCCACCAAGTGTTGGTTGCTTAGGGGTCAGTGGGCTTTTGTGGCAAGGTAGCGGAGAGGAGTTGTGTCCTAGCTTTCAACCAACCAATTCAAACATTCACTGCTTATTTGCTACAGACTATAATATTAAAGTCCCTGAGACCTATTTGCTTCCATGCTTTTTTTGCATGCTTGCCTTTCTGTCTGCTTCCATGAACCACAGACCAAGTTGCTGCATTAGGGCTCACATAAAATTTTTCAATTATAGGCTGTCCAATCTTGGCAGTCTGATAAGCTCAAGTTAGAGCCGTCCAAAAGAAGTACAATGTTAGCCACATACACAGTTTTTGAATTTCTAGTAGCTACATTAAAAAAAGGAAAACAGGTGAAGTTAATTTTAATATATTTAACCCTAATGCCCAACTTATTATTGCAACCTGCAATCCGTATGACAGTTATTAATGAGATATGTCACATTATGTTTTGGTACTGTCTTCATAATCCAGTGTGTGTTCTACATTGAAAGCACACCTCCATTCAGACTAGTCACATCTCAGGTGCTCGACCATCACATGTGGCTGGTGGCTGTCATATTGGACAGCACAGGTCTAGGAGATGGAGGCTAGTGCAAAAACCTCTTGTTTCAAAAACAAAAAAGGCAAGATGAACTTTAGCAATTCAAAAAGTAAAGTTAGGGCCTAACACCTTATTCAGCAGACAGCTTGACCTTAGATTTTGCTCCCTTATTTCCCATCTTTCCTAAATGTGTGTATACAAGCGTTGCTTCACAATACCAAGGTCAGAAATTGATCTAACAGGGTTTACAGTGATGTGGAACAAAGCCATTAGAAACAAGGTTTAGGGGCCCCTAATGTTTAGGGGCCAGCTGCAGTTTAGGGGCTCAGAGCCAGCTGCCCTGAGCTCACCTGCCCTTTGGACCCTTACCTTGCACTTCATTCCTCTGCCGCCCAGCATCCACCTCCAGATGGGTAGGCTCGGAGGCTCTGTAGCTATGGGGAGGGAAAGTCAGGAAAAGGTAGCCAGTTGGAAATGTGGAGGAAGAAAGCAGGTTCAAGTTGATAGGCAAAACTCTAAAAGTCTAAATCTGATGTTTATGGGGGTTGAGAGAGATTGCTACTATAAATGAAGAGAATTTGTCTTGACTCTGTTGGGGGAATCATTTGCCTTGGATCTATGCAAACAAAGCTCCATGAAAGGACCACAGGGATGAGCCAGGCTTGCCCTTTTTTTGTATGATTTTGTTTACAAAACTTACTGGGACTTTTAAATCCAGCTATAGATTTGGAAAAGAAAATATTTCCATTTAGATGTTTTATATGGTTGATTATGTTTGAAATTACCATTACTTATTTTTTAAAAGCGCACAGTCACATATGTGTATGTATACCTAAACTTTGTATCATGGTTTCAGTGTATCGTTCATGTATTACTGGGAAGTGCTAACAAGAAATCAATCCAAAGAAAAATTTGAAAGAAGCATTCCTATTTATAGAATAAATAATTGTTTCATTTATATAAAAGCAAAAGAACTTAGAGTTCTAATAAATGGGATATCTAATAAATTATGAAGTTGCCCATTTGAATATATTGTATTTTTATAACTTTCCTTGCCAAAGTCCTGGGCTTAGAATATTAGAGAACTTTGTTTTGACCCCCCCTTCTCTACCATCCATCAGTCTTTCATATATAGTCATTTGGGACCCTTTACCCAAAAAGAATCAAAAAATACAAAGTTGTAACAAACTTGGCAAAGTATTTTCAAAAGGAATTTTTCAGGTAGTAGCAGCATCATTTTATTTTGGATTCTTTGATCATGTATCAACAGTTGATACAAATCCCTATGAAAAAGCCTAATGATGCACTTCAGAAAATATGGAATCTGGCCTTACTAGCAAATATGGCAGAATATGTCTGATCCAAACAATTTTGGATCTAAATTTTATTAGGGGTAGTAAGAATGGCCAATTTCCTTGTATATCCCAACTTTGTAGGTACCGTCCTAAAGTCTGAAACAGAGTCACAACTCAAAGTTGCAATTCATCCAGGATACAGAAGTTTAAGAATGTATTTAAATAAATGTTTCATTAGTACACCTATACCCTTTCTTTGAAAGTTGACAACCTAATTGAACCCAAAACTGAATAATTTCAATGCTAAAATCTTCAACTATGGCAAATCACAAAAATGAATATTTTCTTCCCTGAAATCAGGGCTTACATTTGGGTTTTTTTCCATAATATTTCCAGATAAATGTATTCAAGATGCAATACAGTATTTTAACATTCACATATCATTTTATATTGAAATGTATTACAGTATTAAAATTCAGTGTTCAGTATTTATTTCACTATGCATTTTATTTAGTAGAAGCTAAAAGAAACGTTTAATCCAATGGTGCCTTACTTTGTGATTTGAAAGAAATCAACTTTTTATGTCTAAGTAGCAGATTATTTGCAGATCTGTAAAAACTGGTAGGCCTTTATAGTTTAACGTGTAATACCAATTTTGTTATTTTAGTAGCAGAAATGGGGTGATTGTTAAAGTGCCCAAAATTTTTTGGTATGAAATTTAATTTTTCCCTGTTTGTAGTCAGGGACAGTAAAGGAAAGCAAATGTTTTTCATACCACTGCACTATGTAAACATGCACATTTTGGAATCTGTGTCACCAGGACAGTTTAAATGGTGGGGTAGCATCTACCCTAGACATCTGTGTCTTTGTCAGTTAGCCAGACAATAAATAAAAGCAGAATAAGAGTGTCAACTGGTGGTTTTTATTTAAGTATTGTCTATGTAAATACAAATGAAAAGGCAAGTGTCTGTTTTGTACTCTGGTAAAGAAAGACGAGCTTAGAGAAAAGAAAAAGGGGGGGGGTGGCAGCGGTCTATAGTGTGTGCTCCTCACATCCACTTCCTGATTCCTTGTTCCTGAGAACCTGCATCTTACTCAGTCTGCTGTCTCCTTGAGGCAGATGCTTCTACACTACGGTAAAGATGAATGATGGAACCAATGAGCAATAAACCTACAAGGACTAGCTCTAACTCTGAGAAATACAGGAAAGGCCAATGGGAATTTAGGAGGGCTGATAATTTTTTAAATTATCTGCTGTGCGTGCACGTGTGTGTACATACCTTAATATAGCATAATGGCTAAAAGAGATTAGGAAGACCTGCCTCCATCTCTTACTTGCAGGTTGTGAACTTCTCTGAGCTTCAACTTCCTTATCTACAGGGTAAGTAACTACCTCACAGCATTAATGAGTGCATGAAATGAGATAATCCAACAAATGGCCAGCAGACACGTGAAAACAGACACATCGCTCAGCATCAGGGAAATACAAATCAAAACCACAACAAGATACCACCTCACACCAGTCAGAATGGCTAAAATTAAGTCAGGAAATGACAGATGTTGGCAAGGATGCGGAGAAAGGGAAAGCCTGTTATACTGTTGGTGGGAATGCAAGCTGGTGCAGCCACTGTGGAAAACAGGATGGAGGCTCCTCAAAAAGTTGAAAATAGAGCTGCCCTACATATATAGGTGTATATTGGAAAACTACTCAGCCATCAGAAAAATGAAATCTTACCATTTGCAATGATGTGAGTGGAACTAGAGGGTATTATGCTAAGTGAAATAAGTCAATCAGAGAAAGATCATTATCATCCAAGCTCATATGGAATTTAAGAAGACGATCACAGGGGAAGGGAGGGGAAAATAAGATGAAATCAGAGAGGAAGACAAATCATTAAGAGACTCACTACACTACAGGAAACAAACTAAGGGTTGCTGGAGGGGAGGGGATGAGAGGATGGGGTAACTGGGTGAAGGGCATTAAGGAGGACACTTGATGTAATAAGCACCCAACTGATGAATCACTAAACTACATCTGAAACTAAGATGTATGCTAATTAATTGAATTTAAATAAAATGCCAAAAAACAAGTATTTTTAAGTGTGCAGGAAAACTGGGGGGGGGGTAGTATTTAGAAAGTTTTGATGGCCAATAAATAATACATTTTTGTCTTTTGATTAATTTGTAAAATAAACTCAAGGACTCCCCCAGTTCCCTGATGTTCCAACTATAATTGATTGCTTCTTGGATGCTTAATTTAGAGTGGCCCTTTCTCTGCTGTCTTCCCCACAGCCTCGCTTCTCTGCACTCTGAGCCCTTGGTACTCCGAGTCTATCCCTGCAGCTGCAGTTAGCTGCCAGTTTCCCCCACTACCCGAAAGTAAAGCACGCGAATGAAAACTTTCCTAAGCTGAAATGGCATAAATCAAAGAAGCAATTACCATTAACTTACATGGAAAAATTTTTAAGCATTCTCAGACCCCCAAAAATAACCTCTCTCAGGTTTTCTCAGGCCTTAGGACACATCTTGCTAATGGATGCACAAAATAAATTAAGAAAGGCACAGATGCTCTCAGACACCGTTCAGAAAAAACTACAGCGGCTTGATGCTAAGATGCAGAGTGTGGTTTCAGGGGAAGGGACTTGATGGGGCCATTCTCACTGTTTTGGGGTGTGCACTGCTTCTATAAGCAGTTGCTGCAAAACAAACAGCGAACACTATTTTTACTTTTTGCCTTTTTTCCTAAAAGCAAAAATCATCTTCAGGTTTCTTTCAGTTAGCAAGAACGGGTACTAATGTAGGTCTTTTGTAAAAGTGAAGTGGCCTAATGCAAACTTTTGAAAATCAGGGGATGCCTGTACATGTTTCTCTTACTGGTAAATATTTGGAAATGTCTCATCTATCAACATGCTAGCACAAATTCCTTAGCCTTAAAATTCTGCTTCTGGTATTCCAGAGGCACATTTACAGGAAACTAATGAAGCTCAGGCTTTGGGACTTCTAATAAGCACTCATTTTTACATCAAAATTTTTATTTATGATTTTATGCTAATTTTCTTAATATAGCACCAAAATTATCTAAAGCTTCAGGGCCCATAGAACCTGTCCTTGTATTATTGCCCTTCCAGCTTCTTATACAGAAATCAACCTGTGTGCCTGAATGGGTATCTGAAAAACTTTCTTAAGCCGTCAGGTTTCCACAGTGTGACAGGAAAGTCCCAGACCAATATGAAAGAGCAAAAGTGCTCCCAGAGTGGCCTACAGATATTTCTGAAATGATCCAGTCATTGCATTGCCTACATTGCATTAGAGTAAGTTAAAGGCCCCACAACGTGACCCACCCAAATAACACATTTGCCCTGTGGGGGGCCTGAGATGCAAGTCCAGATGTTATTAGACATCAAACTCAAATTTAGCTTAAATCTTGACCGGGAAGATGCCTGCCAGGGCACCTGGCATATCCATCAACATAAATGTGTTTTAGTCACGAGGGACAACCGCCCTTTTCCTGTTTTCTGTTTCCAAACAATTTAGGAAGTTAAAGGTCACCTATCAAAATGCAACCCTATTTTGGACGCCTGGGTGCCTCAGTGAGGGTCTGCCTTCAGCTCAGGTCCTGATCCCAGGATTCTGGGATCAAGTCCCGCATCCGGCTCCCCTCAGGAAGCCTGCTTCTCCCTCTTCCTGTGTCCCTGCCTCTCTCTGTGTGTCTCATGAATAAATAACATCTTAAAAAAAAAAAACTAAGATAGGTACCTGCAAAAAGCAGCAGCAGACAACTGGGAAATCCTAATGCTTTATGGAGCTATTGTATTCCTACAGCTCCATTTTTACATTTATTCATTGAAATAATCAGCAAACACTAATTGAGTAACTACAATTTATTAGGCATTGGAAATACGAAGATACATATTATACAATAGGAAGTGCTAGTCCTAGAACCAAGGGTCTGGATTCTAGATCTAACAAGAACTTCAGCCAGTAGGCACAACCCTGCTCTCCCACTGGTTCTAGAATGCTCCCCAGCACCAACACAAGCTGGTTGGCTGTGTGCCTGAATGGGAATTCTCCTTTGGTGCTTCTGCTCAGGCTTACTCTTAGAGCAAAGGCATAAATGGGTCCCAAGTGGCTTACTCTTAGAGCAAAGGCATAAATGGGTCCCAAAGAAAAATAGAAAAACATATCTAATATAGTAGTGTCAACACAAGACCCATTACCTAATTTATATATCTAGATTACAACATAAATATCTTCATTTTTCATGTAACTATGACCAATTCTTGGTCAATCCATACTAAAAAATGTGCTAAGCTCTTTGCAAATATGATTGCATATGTTATTGTTGATCTTTGTGACTTCACATGTGGAGAAATCAAAGCCTCATTAAATTTGCCTCAAATGGATCCGGAATTCAGACTTGAGACTGAGTAAATAAATTTGAATAGAAAGTCATTGTATTGTTAACTTTCCATTTGCCTAGTTTAAAAAATACTGACATTTCAGAAAAACAAGGACATTTTATTTAATTTATTTATTTATTTAATTCATTCATGAAAGACAGAGGCAGAGACATAGGCAGAGGGAGAAGCAGGCTCCATGCAAGGAGCCTGATGTGAGACTCGATCCAGGACCCTGGGATCATGCCCTGAGTCGAAGGCAGAAAGAAGCTCAACCACTGAGCCACCCAGGCATCCCAAAACAAGGACATTTTGACAAGCCAAAACAAGGGAAGACCTAATCTTAGAATTAAAGATAGTAGATTCGATGGAATAAACAGAACTTCATGGAACACTTAACACACTGCCTTTATTTACCTCATTGAGCTATGGACTGGCTCTAATCCCAGACCCAGGATTTACCAGCTGGGGCACATTGCCTCCTGTAAGTGATCTAACTTCCTTCAGGTCTTTGGTTCTTTACAGCTGGAGGTCTGTAACTACCTCCAGCTGGTGGTAATAACCACTATTTTAACGTTTTTAAAAGGATGTACGTGTTCTTTTCAGCTCATCTTATCAGACACTTGCTACCTTTTCAGAGGATCTCAGTGGAACCACTAAAATTCAGACATTTCACTAAGCACAGATTTCTGAAAGTCCCAAACTGCAGTGCGATAATTCATTTGCTTCCCAGTGTATCTCCCTTCCATCCTACTGTTCATTATTTGTGGAGCATTTCTTCCATCCGTATTATAAACTTTTGGTATTGATTTTTTTACTCTCCTTAAGGTTGGAAAAATGATGGGGTTCTTTTAAATTCCAAATCATAGGGCAGTCTGGGTGGCTCGGTGGTTTGGCACTACCTTCAGACCAGGCTGTGATCCTGGAGACCCAGGATTGAGTCCCACGTCGGGCTCCCTGCATGGAGCCTGCTTCTCCCTCTGCCTGTGTCTCTGCCTCTCTCTGTGTGTCTCTCATGAATAAATAAAATCTTTAAAAATAAATAAATAAAATAAATTCCAAATCATAGAATTTGCTTTCCCTCAATGGCCAGAGGTAAACTTCCGGTCTTCAGTCACACAACCCAGCACCCATTCATAGGGGAAATAGAGCAAAATGACCATCGTGTTTAAAAAAGGTAAAATAAGTGGCTCTGGAATTTTAAAGCATTTCCATAGATAGTCCCTCAAGTTCAGCCCACAGCAGCCCCACGACAGAGAGACTGATCTGTGTTGCAAATGTGGGGCTGAGACCCAGAGGGAGGAAGTGACCCCAAGGTCTGACCACTGGTGGGTGGAGGAGGCCAATACTAACCCCCTAAACTACTTCAGTCACACTCTGCGAAATGCATTTTGACCTTTCTAGTCTTCATTCATCTGAGAATATTATTGAACACCTCAGTAATGAGAAGGCATGGGTGGGCGGGGGAGTCCAGCTGAAGATGCAAAGATCCCTACCACCTAATTACCATGTTTCAGGGAGCTCGCAGAGCTCATACTTTGGGCAAGTATACAAAGAACTTTAGAAGCAGGTGGGATCCATGTCCTACTTGAAAGCCTGAAGCAATGTATCACAAGGACCCAAAGAAGGTACAACTCCCGTGACTTGGGCCTTACTGCGCCACACTCATGTGTGTTTTCTACATCTTCTGAGTTAGGTTTGCAGCGTTTCTCAACATGAAAGCTACGGATCACTTAAGCACTTAAGGGGTGCTTGTTAAATACAGATTCCTGGGCATCACCTCAGACCTACCCACATAAAACTATCTGGATTTTTAAAAACCCAGGAATTTTTTTTAAACATGAAACACTTGACAAATGTGCGTGTCATCCTTGCACAGGGATCGTGCCAATCTTCTCTGTATCACTCAAGTTTCAGGACATGTACTGCTGAACCAAGCATGAGAATTTGTATTTTACATAAGCTTCAAGGTCATTCTGATGCACATTCCAGATTCAGAATCTCTAAGGTCTTACTTCTGCCTTTGGGCTTTTGAAAGAATCAAGTCATATATGTATATCACTTACATTTATAAAGTAAAATGAAGATTAAATCATAAGATGGCATCCCCTTTTTGTACACTGAATACTCCACTTATACTACCCCATGCACATGGATGCACTGGACTATTTATCTCTAAAATACTTTCCTTAAAAATTTAGGAAGATAGCTTGTCTATTACAAAACTCTGTGATACATCTCCCTCCCAAGAGCTGTCTCATCCTCTCAGCCAAAGAAAAACTGTAACAACAGCACTACATAGTCCTGGCCAGTGAGCATCAGCACACTTTACTGAACATATGTTCGAAAAAAAAATTTTTTAAAAATAAATAAACGTATGTTCGACTATGCTTTCTTGAATTAAGTATGCTTGCAATGTGTGTCATCTTTCCATACGGTTTTCTGATGAATTCCAGTTACTAATTTTGATCGAGAGTGCTATCAAAAGATGATAGCACAAGTAGTGCCATTAAGATATACAAAAGAACATCGTGTTGGATGCCAATTTTTTTTAAGTAGCTCAAGGTGACTTTAGGAAAGTGGTTGTAATACAGCAAAAAGATTAGCAAGGATTCAGGGTGATGGAAATCTTTTGACATTACAAAAGGTATCATACACAACTCTTCTATCAGAGAGGATAAACTAACAATTATGACTGGTAATGGGAAGACACTATGGCTTGTGACCTCTGGAGATTTAAAGAGAAGATTAAAAGACACTTAAGAGGAACCCCTGGACTCAGGAACTTGACCAAAACAGGGTGTTCACTTAAACTCCCCTGGAGCACACACCCCTGACGTGAAGGGGGATGCCTACCCTGAGGCTGGCCCAGGCTTGTACTCTCCAACATGCCAGTGTTTCACTGTAGCCAATGGAAATAGCTACCACATGCTAGAACAGTGGTTTCAAACCTCATATAATCACCTGGAGGACTTAGTGAGACATGGTCCTACGCCCCACTGCTATGGATTCTGATTCAGCAAGCCTAAGGTAGGGCCTGAGAATCTGCATTTCTAACAGGCTTCTAGGTGATGCTTTACTGTACTTGTTCTCAGACCACACATTTTAATGGGCCCTGATCACCATCTGTAATAATGGAACACTTTTCTCTGCATTAAACTAATATGTATATATAGCATCAAACTAAATACTGCGTCCATTACTTGCATCATGGCTTAGGAAACTTAACTAGGTAGAAAACCAGTCAGCATGGCACCGTCATACCTGAAACATAATTAGGTCTTAGAACTTCCCAATGGGGAAGTCTTTCTTTGACTATTAATCATGTCCATTAATCTTTTGTGGTTACTGCCATTGTTGCTTTGCCCACAATACTGTAGAGGGTGGGGGTGGAATCCAAATGTTAATAAGTGTTAATTATGGAGTTTTAAAAATCAAATCAAAACAGCAAAAATCATGAAAAAATAATTCATGAAAGCTGACAAGCCTTCGCCCTTAATCATCATCTCAAGGTTAAATAATGATCAGAATTCTTTCAGTCAAAGTACTTATGTTGCATCTTGATGTTTAACTATCATATAAATATAACTGTGCTATTAGGCTCTATTTTTCATTGCAGATGAAATTGATGCATCTTTGTGTGGTGCAGTCTGACATAGTAAAATTGTTACTCTCTAGGTAGGATATTCATAAAAATGTAATTATCGTAATCAGAACGGTCTTTAAGCTCATGAGAGGGGATTGCCAGATTTGTGATTGGCAGTTTTCAATCACCTCACGTATAATAAAGAAACTTCTTAAAGCAGCCATAGGAATCACTAATGTCTTACAGAGGGAAGCTATTCTGATCTGATAACAAAGGGTGTTGGGAGATGGTGATGGGAACTCAAGTTGGCCTCCTCTGTCTGGCTTTGGGCAGAACTGGATGGATTTCACTTGGTTTACTCACCAATAGCTGTAATTAACATTTGCTGGGAGAGTGCTTCGAGGAGAAAGAGATCACAGGAAGACTACGGTGACTGATTTATCAATCGCTTCTTGGCTTTTTGGCTGAGATCAAGTGCATTTATCATTTTCCCTCTGGAGTTCATAACTTGCTGCACGTAGCCCAGGAGTGGCTATGCATCCAGCATGCCACCAGGGGGAAATATAGCAAAGCCATCAGGGGACTTGGCCTTCGTTTAGATGGGAGTTTCCAGTGTTCTTAACATCCCTGGTCCTGGTTTAGGCGGCACAAGGCAGAGATACCACAAATGAGCTCAGCTTGGTGGGCTAGAGAAATAAAAACCAACAAAGTCAAGTCAACAAGCTGTTAATTTGAAGATGAAAATAACCTATTCAAATAGGACAGCAACTTTGTTTTGATCCCCACTGCCTCTATCAGAATTACTCAGTGGGGGCAAGCTAGTTAGTCCCTGCCCCTGCACAAAAACCTCCATAATCCTGACTTAAAAAACAAAACAAAACAAAACAAAAAAACAAACAAAAAAAACTCTGACTTGATTTTAATCACTTTGGTAATAACAAGTCCTACAGCCACTTTAGGTCTCCAACACAGTCCCAATTAAGAAGTTAGAATATCCAGTCCTGTACAGTAACCAACTCCTAGAATCAGGTGTAAAGGTGACACTGTCCCCTTCACCCTGGGGCCTTCTGCAGCCAAGAAGCTGGGGCAGGGCGCAGGCTCCACCAACTGCTCCTTTCCTCCACCAACGGCTTCCAGCTGTCTGCCGCCATTTCACCAGCCATGGTTTGTTTCTGGGTCAAAGCAGGCAGAGGGAAGAGAAGTGAGGGTGGGGTAGGGAGAGAGGGAGAGACGTTCTTCCCGGACTGGTCACCTCGTAGGGTAGCTTCTCTCTTTATAAGCTAGGCTGTGAAATCGAGAGCCGCCTGTTCCCGGGGTGGGGTGCTCTCTCGGGGCCTCAGGGACCCACCATCCCCCACGCTGGGGCCTCTCACCTGAAGTCCCTTCATCAGCTGAAACTAGCCTCAGCTCCGTCACCGCTCCAGCTGCTCCCTGCTGAAGCCTAAGAGCTCCTCTAGGTGGCCCTATTGGACAGGAGCTAGGTTCCTTTCCTCTTTCCCCACCTCTTCTCTCTCCCTCTCCCTCCTCCCCTTCCCCTGCCCTCCACCTCCCTCTTCCCTCTCCCTCAGCCCTCCCCGTGCTGGCCCACTCAGTCACAAGTCTGCGCCAAGCTGCAGGAGATGTGTGTAAAGCTCTCTGAATGAAGACTTTTCAGTGAGAAAACAGCTTTGAGGTGAGAGGAGCTTCTAGACAGCCCTCCAGAGAAAAACTCTCTTCACATACCTTCCCTCCCAATCCTCAACCCCCTGATATTTTGTTGTAAGACCCTGGTGCCATTTCCTGACACTATTCAGTCACTGGGAAAGCTTAGCCTGGGCCCTCTTCTTCCTCTGGCACGGATCCTACCCTCAGCCATGGATCTGTTCTGCTCAGGTCAGCCTGGGGGTCGGTGAGCAGCTGCACTTGGTGCCATACTAAAGCCCTAGCCTCCAGCTCAGTGTCTCTTAGTAACAAAGGAGGCATTTTGGCCTCTCTGCTACCTTTCATTTTGTTTCCCAATTTATTCAGAACCTGGGTGGGAAAGACAGGTGCTATTTATTTGAGCCCCTCTTTCTATCTTGAACGTAGGCGAAGGATCTGAAGCCTGTTACCACTTTTTAGATAATCCTTTTGAAGATCTCTATCCTCTTATGGCTTCTTTCTCTTGTTTGTCATATATTTTATCTTGATGTCTCAGTGAGAACTTCTTATTTAACATCTTGAAATGTGGGCAGCCCAGGTGGCTCAGCAGTTTAGTGCTGCCTTTGACCTAGGGTGTGATCCTGGAAACCCGGGATCAAGTCCCATATTGGGCTCCCTGCATGGAGCCTGCTTCTCCCTCTGCCTGTGTCTGTGTGTCTCTCTCATGAATAAATAAATAAAATCTTAAAAAAAAAAAAAATCTTGAGGGCAGCCCCGGTGGCTCAGAGGTTTAGTGCCGCCTACAGCCCAGGGCGTGATCCTAGAGACCCTGGATCGAGTCTCACGTTGGGCTGTCTGCATGGATCCTGCTTCTCCCTCTGCCTGTGTCTCTGCTTCTCTCTCTCTGTGTCTCTATGAATAAATAAATAAAATCTTTTAAAAAATATTTTTAAAAAATAAAAAAATAAAAAAAATCTTGAAATGTGTCATACGGGGGAGGGGCACCTAGGTGGCTCAGCCAGTTGGGTGTCTGCCTTTGGCTCAGGTCATGATCCCAGAGTCCTAAGATTGAGCCCGGCATTGAGCTCCCTGCTCAGCGGGAAGTCTACTCCTCCTTCTGCCCCTCACCCCTCTTGTGCTCATTCACTCTCTCTCAGATAAAAAAAATCTTTTAAAAAATATATCATGGGAAATAACTAGCTAAAAGCTTTTAGGGTTTTCTTGGGGGAGTAACTGATTAAAACTATTTGAGGATGTTTATACAGCTCAGAAATGAAAATCTTTTAGATAAAACTTTAAAATACTTCAGAAAGGGGTCACCTGGGTGGTTCAGTTGATTAAGTGTCACACATCCAATGTCCAACCCTTGATTTTGGCTCAGGTCATGATCTCAGGGGCATGAGATCGAGCCCCATGTCAGGCTCTAGGCTGAACGTGAAGCCTGCTTAAGATTCTCCCTCCCTCTCTCCCTTTGCCCCTCCCCCCTGCTCGTTCGCACACATGCATGCTCTCTCACTCTTAAATATATATATAATACATTTTTTTTAAAATAAAATACTTCAGAAAGAAAAATAGCTTTTAAGGAGACTTGAAATTTTTCTTGACTTTGCCAAAGACTAGCTATATTGACCTTAGGAAAGTTGTTCCATCTCTCCAAACCTAATTTTTTCATTTATGAAATTAAGAGTCTGGCCTAAAAGTCTCTCAGGTCCTTTTCCAACTCTTACCATGAATC